ATTCAGCTAGGAGATGCTAGGAGTTTAGGGGAGTGGTTGACCGGCATCCGAGAGTCTTCAGAAAGCCGAATGCAAGGCCTTCGGCGCTGAAGCACCATACAAGAAAGCCACCAACCCTACCCCAGAGCATAGTGCAGGACTTCCCCACAGGAGTTTCGTGGTAGCTCTCCGGTGTAACGTTACGAGTACCGACTCTGTTGGTTAGTGACGTGCAGCAGCGCGGGCGGAAAGCGTAGCCCGGGACGCTGCTCCCTCTTTGGCGCGGTGCACATTTTGTGCTCGTGTCTCGTGGTGTGCAGAGATTCCACCCGGAGAGCAAGTTTTATTTTCAGTAGCAGTAGCAGGAACAGTAGCAGTAGCACTAGCAGGAGCAGCAGCAGCAGCAGTAGCAGTAGCAGTAGCAGTAGCAGTAGCAGTAGCAGCAGCAGTAGCAGTAGCAGGAGCAGTTAGCCGTAGCAGTACCAGTAGCAGTAGCATAAGAGTAGCAGTAGCAGTAGTAGTAGTCGTCGTCGTCGTCGCAGTAGTAGTAGTCGTCGTCGTCGTCGCAGTAGTAATAGTAGAAGTTGTTGTAGTAGTAGTAGTAGTAGTAGTAGTAGTCGCCGCCGTCGTCGTAGCAGTAGTGGTAGTGGTAGAGGTAGAGGTAGTGGTAGTGGTAGTGGTCGTGGTGGTGGTGGTGGTGGTGGTCGTGGTGGTGGTGGTGGTGGTGGTGGTGGTGGTGGTAGTGGTAGTGGTAGCAGTGGCAGTGGCATTAGCAGTAGCAGTCGTCGTCCTCCGGCTCGTCGTCGTTGTCGTCGTCGTAGCGGCCACCGTACTGTGGAATATGTGGCCGGTATTTGTCCGAAGAAGCACCAGTTCGTCGCTCATGATTTGGCAAGCTTGGTTGTTCCGGGCTCTGATCAGGTTTTTTGTATTGATGACAAGGCGGCTTCTTGCTGAGCAGGCAGCAACATGGGCTCCGATGACGATGTCGACAATATGCGCTTGGGCATAACCTCTGTTATTGTTGAGTTGACAAGGCCTTCTGAACTATAGTATAGGTGTTGTTGCCAAGGGAGAACTTCTACGGTCTTCGTTGTGCGTCATGCTGAGAGGGGCTTCGTTTTGGCTCCCCGTTCTGGCCATGTCAAAGGGCTCTGTGGTTACATGCAGCCTTCAGCTCCCCTGGGTTTAGAGGTTTAGGGCTTAGGGTTTAGGGTCTGACTTCCGCATCCTGCACTTCAGTCAGTTAAACACTCTACTTGCCGGCTTAGGTTATCGCCGTGTTGAGGTTCTTCTTGTTTAGTAAGAAGGCTGCTAGCAGTGCGCTGACACTGGGGATGGCTATGACGGTGGTGTCGACTATGCTGACTGTGGTGCTGGTGGCGGTGGCGGTGGCGGTGGCGGTGGCGGTGGCGGCGGTGGCGGCGGTGGCGGGGGTGGCGGGGGTGGTGGTGGTGGCGGTGGTGGTGGTGGTGGTGGTGGTGGTTGTGGTGGGTGGTGGGTGGTGCTGCTCGCATTCATGACGACGGGGGTTGGCGATGGATGATGCTGAGCATGGTGTTGAGGGTGGTTCTTGCGAAGCTTGGCTGGCAGGGGCGAGGGCGGTAAAGGTCCAGATCTAGGCTTGAAGGCGATTCTTGGTCTAACTATGGTTGAGGGTTCCTAGCTTAGGAAACAAGGTAGTTGGACACAGGGTGCATGTCTAATATAGGGTTTCGGGGAAGATGATACTACGCTGTGATATAAGGACATATAAGGACAATCTTTTCCGACCCCTACAGTACGTCAGGGTTCAGGGCTCTGCGCTCAGGCGTGTAGGGGTTTAGGGGCGTGTAGAGTTTCTTCTTCAAGAACACAAGCGACCAACACTACCAAAACATACCTAAACCCTATACCCTAAACCCTAAACCCTAACCCCCAAAACATACCCGAAACCTTTGCAGGAAGTTCGAATCCTCATCTTCCCTGTGTAGGGGTTTGGGTTTAGAGTTCGCCTAACTTCTCAACTATGAAGTCCAAGTCCGAACCCTAAACCCTAAACCCAAAATCCTAAACCCTACCTGGACCCCAAAAGTATGTAAAATAATAGCCTTTTAGTGTTCTTGGGCCACTATTTTACCTACTTTTGGGGGGGCTTAGGTAAATCCCAATAGTCGAGTCAAAGGGCTTCTGCAGCTGTCAGCGTGACCCCTTCGCTCATGGCAGTCATCGACAGCAGAGCAACCTTGCAGTCCTCACCAGTTTAGGAGTTTGGGGTTTAGGGTTTAGGGGTTTCGGGTTTAAGGTTTTCTCGCTTGCCCTGCGCCGTAAACACTACCGCCTAACATCTAACGAATCTAACTTAATTCGTACCCTACCTTAAAGTACATAGCATGACCAGCTGTTTGCAGGCACTGTAAAGCTGAATGGTTTGGGAACATGCAGAAAAGTATGCCTTCAGCCTGGCCTCACCTCCGAACCCCGAGCACGAATGCCGAAATCTGAAATCAGAGCTTCGAGCGAATGGTGGGCTCCGGTCATGCTAGGTGTGCGGTTCAGGGTTTAGGTTGAGGGTTTCGGTCATGGTCTGGGGGTTCTTGATTTGGAGTTTAGGGTTTGGCATATAAGGGCGTTCGGGAGCATCTGAAGGGGCTCTATCAGGGAACTCAGTGGATGTCACCAATCTTATCCCAGAATTTTATTTATGATACATGCACAGCTTTCCTTATGATTGGTTGTGATGTGCGAACCTCAACCCGAAACCCTAAACCGAGCTCCGCGTTGCTAGGGTCTGGTTGCGAACGAATCGCTCAGCCGGGCGGGTCCGCATAGTGGGTGAGTTACAGTACAATGATAACAATAGGATAATAATACTAACAATAATAATAACATAATATTCATATAACAATATAATTATAGAAGGACAGCGAAGGAATCCTGAACCCGAAACCCCTGAATCCTTGAACCCTTGACGCCCCGAGCTCCCAAACCACTGAACGCCTACACCCCGAAGCCCTAGACCCCTGAACCCCGGAACCCCCGAACCCCCCAAAACCCTAAACCCAAACCTGAACCCCTGAACCCCTGAACCCTAAACCCGAAGCCCTGAACCCCAAAATCCTTAAAATCCTTCAGACCTCTAGAAAGAAGCTCCCCAGAGAGCCCAATACCCCCTAATTAAGGAGTATACCTTAAATCATGATAATCTGGCCCCTCATATAATATTAAGGCCCCCAGAATTTAAGGTATATTCCTTATTTAGGGGTTGTTGGGCTCTTTGGCTCTTGCAGGCCTTGTCATTCTGAAACTGCTCCACCAGGTCGGGCCGCTCCTTTGGGATTTCGGGTTGTTTAGGGCTTGGAGGGCTTAAGGCTTTGTTTAGGGTTTTGCACCCAAAACAGGCTTGTTTAGGATTTTGCCCCCAAAACAGGCTTGTTTAGGATTTTGCCCCAAAACAGTAGTAGTTAGTAGTAATTATTTAGGCCCCTATATTATCTTGATTCAAGTTTTGTTTTGCTTTTGCGCCACTTGAAGGCTCGGTGCTCTACCCCGCAACCGACTTAGTCAGTGCCCTGGCATGTGGTTTTTGACTTTTCAGTCCGCCCCAAATCTACTCACTCAGATCCTAGATTCAATATTGACACAGACGTACCAAACAACGACAACAACAACAACAACCACCACAACCACAGCCACAACCACAACCACAACCCCGCCACTAACACCAACACCAACACCACCACCAACAACAGCAAAACCCTAAACCTTCCAGCTTAGTAGCCCATGATGTAACTCTTGAAAAACAACGATCCGGTGTTGCAGGGGTCTCGACAGTTTTTGTTAGATTTCGGCTTCTTTCGAACCCCTAAACCCTAAACCGCTTTAGGGATTCCTTTCTGCAGGGTTTAAGGCTTCTCGAACCCACAAGACCAAAAGTTGCCCTAGCATGCTGTACCCTACTGTGTCTTTCGGCTCTAAAGCTGAACTGACTCGAAACCCTAAACCCCTGAACCCTAACCCAAAGGTTCCGACTGCAGAGACAGCAGCGAAAGACGGCAGGGTTCCGGCGTGATGATGGTGATCATGGTGATGATGATGTTGATGATGATGACGATGATGATGATGAGTGGTCAGGTTGAAGACGACAGTGGCAATCTCTGAAGTCTAAACAAGCTGAAGTGCCCTCATGCTCAAGCCCACGCCTTGAACTTGTCCAAGTCTTTAAGCCGAAACACTGCAAAGCACCATACATACCAATACTGTTAGGATTCGGAAATTTCATCGAAGTGCACGAAGTGCTGCAAACACCATCTAACTTGCCTCTCTGATGTGAACCCTGCATGAAACACAGAGTTTTCGTGATGTACTGCTGAGGTACTACTCCGCACTCGCGCAAGACAAACCCCCGAGGTTTTGCACGTTTTGCTTCCGGCCGCAACACAAGTAACCCAGAACTCTGAACCGGAACACAACAAACAACGGCGACTGTCGGGGTTCTATGTTTTGAGCGGTGTGCAGCATGCTGCACATGCAGTGAACTCGCTCCCCTGTTGCAAATTCAACATGAAACACAGGGCGTTCCTCATGTTTTCAAATTACATGTGATTAGTACTCCGCACTTGCACAAGACAAGACCTCGAGTTTTCTTGCAGGTTTTCGTCGTCCTAATGATGTCAAAGGCTTGCTTTGCAACATCTGTGCGCGCATGCGTAGTTCCAAGCCATAAGAACGCGCGAAGACAACCTGTTCCGAATGATGTAACTGCAGAAGCGCAAAATTTTCGGTATTTGAGGTGCTTCCGGGCTCTTGCAACAACTTATTCTGTTATACTGCTATACTTCCCCATGGTCTCCGGGAAACCCCCAGGGACACGTCTCTTTGGTGGGTGAAAGGTTGTAGGTTTAGTGTTTTCGGGGTTGGGTTTAGTTAGGGTTTTGGGATTCAGGGTAGAGTGTTTCCGGGCTTGAGTCAAGGTTTAGGGAGAGAGATCCCAATTCAGAACTCCCTGCGACCGTTGTTAGGCTCCATGGCGACGGCCCGTCCTTCTGATTGGTGCTGCCATCGATCCGGATGTACCGTCCTGCAGGCACCGAAAAGTTTGAGTCTTTCCGGTACCCTAAACCCTAAATCCTAAATCCTAATCCCTGCTCAAAAGGGTTGTGGAGATTTGGGGGTCGGTCTAGGGTACCCGGATATCCAGAACATGCGGGACGGCTTTCTAGGACACATTGCTGTGATATACCAAGGCTTGAAAGATGATGTCGCAACACTGCTGATCGACAACTCAAGCACCTTTTAACTACGGGTGATGGGGGGGAATAGCACTTACTGTGGATGCTGCTGGAACGTGTCCATCTGCAGAACGACTGAATATGCTGAACATTCTCTGGACAACCCCAACACTGTATAAATCCAGACGTAAGCCCTTATATGCATCCCGTAATGTAAGCCTTATATTCTACAAAGGCTTCCGCTCTTTCGGTTGCACCTTTCACAAAGCTCTTGCATATGATCTGGTGCACCGAGCGCGCGCGCTGAGATGAAGTGCGACTCCGCTTACTTAAAGGATCACGGGACTTAGTAAGCAGGTCAGAATGTAAGTAGAGTTATACATACCCTACATGAGGTTATCCTACTTAGAACCCCAAACCCTAAACCCTACATGAGGGTATCCTACTTCTAATGCTACCACCACTAGCCTACTTGCCAAGTCCGCTGATCCGGACTCATAAGGGGGGCGGGGAAAAAGGAGGCGGGTGGCCGCAGCGTCTTGGACTTCTCAGACAAAGCTGCGTTCACCAGTGTAGTTCCGCTTTAGGTTAAAGTGAGTCTTAAAAATATCTATGTTTTAAATCCTACAAGATAACCTAAAAACGAACTACAAAGGAGACAGTAGAAAGAAACAGTCTCTCTTTCCCTCTCCCTGAAACAGCCTGTCTCTCGCTATCTCTCTGTCTTTGGGCTGCAGGAACGGACCCGTTCAAATGTCAAATGTAAAGCTGACTTTGCTCTGCTGACTCTGCTGCTTGTCTGCAAGAGGACAAACTTCCTCTGCAAACGGGGGGCGGCACCCTAGACTCTACCCATAGGCTCCTAAGTAGTTCCTTTTTATGGTTCATATTTAGAATCCCACAAGGTAATCCCAAAACGGAACTACTAAGGAGCAGAAGTACCCGAATCTGGGCTATAACTATCGTTATCCCTCTTAAAACCCCACGTAATTCTAAATCCTAAATACCCATATAACTGCTATGACTATAGTTTCCCCTCTTATAACCCCACGTAATTTTCTAAACCTTAAACCCATGAGCCCATGAACCTCCAAGCGTCGCTGCAAGTCACGCGAACTTGGGGCCTCGGAGTGGACCCTGTAAGGTGCTCTCGAGCGCATCCATCATCCTGATCTGGGGGTTTTTAGGGTGTGGGGTTGAGGGTTTAGGGTTTTAGGGGGTTTAGGGTGTAGGGTTTAGGGATTTGGGCTTTGACTTGGGGGTTCATTGGTAGTCATAAGCAGGGTTATAAGTAGAGTAAGTGTAGGTATAACCTATATTGGGGGACTTATAACCGTACGTATGTCTACCCATGAACCTCCACATCGGGCTTGGGGTTGAAGGTAGCAGGGCTTATAGGGCTTAGGGCTCGGGATGTGGGTTTAGGGTTTAGGGTTTAGGGTCTAGGGCGTCTAGGGTTTAAGGGGTTAGGGGTTTATAGGGCTTAGGGGTTTAGGGTTAGGGGTTTAGGCTTAGTGTTGCGTAATGTCGCGTTTAGCCTTTTAAGATCAGTGTGGCAACGGGCTGCAAAAGGAACCCTGGTACGTTGAGCAAGGTTTTGGGGGGGTATCACACCGTACTGTAATATGTTATTGCCGTGTTGAAGCGTTTGGGTTTAGGGGCTTCGGGCTTGCCTGAGGGTCATGATCGAGGGTCCAGGGGTTAGGGTTTAGAGTGCAGGGCTACTCCACTGAAGATTCGTAGGGCCCTTAATTGGAACAGGGGGCTGGTGTAGATGATCGCATCATACTAGCAATTTAAAACCGAGGAAAACGGAATAACATTCGCAAACGTTCAAGCCACTAAACGCATATGGCCCTTGGAAACCGACAAACCTCACACTTTAGGCATTTCGGGGTTGCGGATAGCACTTGTCTAGCACTCGCGGGAGTGATTCTTGCCTCCTTTGCCCTAAACGCTACCCATAGGCTCCTAAGTAGTGCCTTTTTATGGCTCATAAATAGAATCCTATAAGGTAATCCCAAAAAGGAACTACTAAGGAGCCTATGAGTACACCCTTAGGGCTTCATGTGTACCTTGCAAAACGCACAGAGTTCTCTTTCAAAGCCCATCAAGCCTTCTAAAACCCTGCCCCAAGTGTTGTGTCCTCTGATCCAGAAAAGGCACAAAACTCCGAATGAAACCTCTGGTTGCTTCCTTCGGGGCTTCCATCAGATGTGTATGTTTTTCTGTATGTATATATATATATACACATACGTATGTTTTTATATGTGTATATATATATATGTATAGGAAAAGATACACAGAGACACACAGGCATACACACGTCCATGTACACATGTACAACAGGCTGGTTAAACATGTAGTTGATACTTGGTAAGTGTTAAGAATGTGTGTATGTGTATATATTCACATGAATATACACGCATGTTTCCATAGAAACAAAGTAAAACTGTAAATGTGCATAAACATAGATGTACAACTTGCATGCATGCATGCATGCAGGCATACATACATGCATACATACGTGCAGACCTACATGCATGCATGCATGCATGCATGCATACATACATACATACGTACATACATGCCTACATGCATACATACATATGTACATACATACATACATACATACATACATACATACATACTGTGATTAAGAATTAATACAAGTAACAATAAGAAGAAAACTGAAACGTTAATAACAATAACAGCGGTTATGTACATTGCAGAACAAGGCGAGCTGCGCCCGGTGGTGCGCAAAGAGCCTCAGCTTCAGAGCTTGCCATTTAGGGTTTAAGGCTCAAGTTGTAAGGGTTGTTAGGTTTAGGGTTTAGGGTTTAGGCTTAAATATGGCTTCATCATTAGGATAGGGCTCTGTGTTGATGCTTAGAATGGGCTTTCTCGACGACATTAGAAGGCATTTTGGGATACAATATAACAAACTTGCATAAGGACTGTAAGAGTAGGAAATGTCTACCACATCGTCCGACCTCTATGTTACATAGGGCTTCAACGTCCATAGGGTTGAGGGTTCAGCAGTGATTTAGGGTTTAGGTTTTGTGGGTTTAGGGTTTAAAGTTTAGGGTTTCGGGATTTAGGGTTTTGAAATTTTCTCAGAGCATTTTTCGGATTTCTTTGGAGTGGGGGATGGGGTACAAAGCATGGCTTCCGCAAGACAGAAGCACACAGGTGTCCAAGAGTGAAACGAGTGAAGCGCCGACCCTGGCCCCTCAGAACTCGAAGGTACAGGGTTTAAGGTTTAGGGTTTAGGGGTTTAGGGTTTAATTGCCCTGGCCCTTCTAATAACCCGTAATTGAGGAATATACCTTAAATGATAGTAGTAAATTCCGTAGCCTGGTGTAAAGTATAATCCTGAATTAAGGTAAATTGGAAGATCAGGATGCTCAGACCGTTCTGTAGAGCTCCCTATTCAAAACTTGGAGTACAACAAATAATCCAGAAACCTGTTCTAATAATTCAGGAACCCTACACCCGAAACCCTAAACGAGTACATATGGAAACCCTACTTTTCTAAACCCTGGAGCCTTAAACCCCTACCTGGACACGAGAGCACCTCCTCTGATCTTAAGGCCTTTGTAGGGGAGTCTGAATACGAAGCCTTAAACATTTAGGTTCCAGGAAGAGCCCGAACAGTCGGATCTAGATTTTCCGAGCTTCCAAACCCTAAATCTAGGACATTTTCCAGTCGGGTAGTTACCGTTATAGGAGCCTTAACAGCCTTAAAGAAGGTCTATATGCTTTATAGAAGCCTCATGGAAGCCCTATATACCCTAAACTCCCCATCTAGTTTCCTTTAACGAAACCTTCCAAACCCTAAGCCCTAAACTGTACTCCCGTCCACGGGACAGGAACTTGCCGATGCCGTTGTCTAGGAGATCCTTGACGTAGTCACAGCAGCACCTTGCAGAGACTCCATCGCTACTTGTTTAGGGCTTAGGGTAAACAATGCATCTGAAATTATAACACGACCCCCTCTTCATGAATTAGCGATGTTCCTCAAACAGGATGCTTGCCAGGCCCTAAACCCTAAACCCTAAACCGTGCTGAGGTCTTTTAAGACGATCGTCGTCAACCGAGCCAAGTTGCCTCAGGTTTCCCTGTACGAGTTGATGCGAAAATTTAGGGTTTAGGGTTTAGGGTTAAAATCCTGAACATCCCTAGACCCTAAAAACTCTAAGCCAAATCCCAAACATCCCGAAACCCTAAACCCTAATCCAAATCCCAAACATCCCTAAACCCTAAACTCTAAGCCAAATCCTAAACACCCCTAAACCCTAAACTCTAAGCCAAATCCTAAAAATCCCTAAGCCCGAAACCCCAACCCAAGCGTCGCTCCACTCCGAAGCTTGCAGCTCGAGGGAGCCGGGTTTCAGCTACCAACTTCGAGGCTTGTAGGATGTAGGAATGTAAAAGACCTAGGGTTTAGGGTTTAGGGTTTAAGATGGCTTAAGGTTTAGGGTTTAGGGTGTGGGGTTTAGGATGGCTTAAGGTTTAGGGTTTAGGGAGCGGCATGCCGAATCACAAAATTCTTAAACCTGATCTTGGGACGGTTGTGGGTCAAAGGGCCTAGGCACTTTTGGATCGGGGTTGGGCTCTGAACGCGTGACCAGAGTCGTAGGATGAGTGTACAGCGTGTCTGTCCTTTGGGCCCACCCGGAAGCCAGCTTAGAATGAGTAGCAATTCTTTCCATAAGCACCAAGAGCCGTAGACTCTAGACCAAGGGCTTAGGCCTCGCAGGGTTTCGAGCCTTTTATTATTTAGATGGCTTATAGGATCTAGGGTTTAGGGTTCAGGGCCCAGCAGCCTCATTTTCGTCTTCATGACCAACTTCAGTGCGCGTTGGACCTCCTCCCTGGCGAAGTCCTCTTCGTTTTCCTGGGAACATGGGCCGCAAAACCCCAAACCCCAATGACATGGACATCCAAACGTCCTCAAAAACAACAACTCATCCTCTCGATGGTTCATGCACGGAAAACATCATTTAAACTTTGGCCCCAATGCTACTACAAGCATCAAGGAAACACCTTAGAACTTAGAACAATTCTATGTCCCTGTGTGTATGCGTGTCTACAAGAAGAAAACAAATATGTGTATATATATATGTACATATATACTAGAACGGTGCATGGGTCCTAGCCTTCTACACCACGCACTGTTTTAAACGTACGTACAGATCAAGCCTGAACAACCCCAGGTTGATCCACTTCCTTCTATAGAAAGCTCTGAACCCTACGTCCTAAACAAAACTGTGTAATACACCTTTTCAGGCTTCAGGAAGCGAATATACAATCCTGAAGGAACCCTGACCAAAACCCTTTGTGAAGCCATTCTCATCAAATCGTGTACATAGTCTTTCAAGGCCCTTGTACAAGCAGCTTAAATGTTACAAACCCTACAAACCCCTATGACAAATCTGAAATCACACAACATTCCACAGACCCTACCCTTACATAGTTAAGCCCTAAACCCAAAAACCCCACAAAGTCTCAAAAACAGCTGAAGAGCATCAGCATTGCCGAATAACCGCTCCTCCAAGGCCATCAGTTCCTGGAAATTAGGATAAAACCGTCACAGGCGCCGCATTCATTGGAATAGGGTTTAAGGGTTCTAGAAGAACTTCTTCTTTGACTTTAGAATGATTCTACCATAATTACGAGGAGTGTACATCCAACAGCGCCCAAGACGAGCACCACAGGTGAAACATGCCATGCGTAGAGCATGGACAGCAGCCTACCGGGAAGACGCTGTCTCTGCAAGGCCCAAGCCCTAAGCGATTGTATTCCTAAATTACTAACTATTCATTAGGGAACCTGGGTGTTGGATTTTGAGGGCTTTTCGGGATCATAGATTTTCGGGTTATTTTGTGTTCTTTGGATGTTTGCGGCTTCAGGGGTTTTGAATTTGTGGTTTCAAGGACATGTTTCGGCTGTTTTCCAGCTCTGGCTCTGGCGTGTTTCTTCGCTGTCGTTGGGCTATCGGGGCAGGAATTTTGCCATAGACAACAAATACTTCATGGAACCCGAAGGATGATAGTACCACCCGACCCTCGAGTTCAGGTTCATGCAATGTAACAACATTGCAAGGAAGCTCGTTCGGTGCAGAATAATGCGGCAGCAGTGATGGCAGGAGAGGAAGCGGACGTAATGTGGCAAGTGCAAAAATTGCGGCAGCAAGCCTTAAGCCCAAAACCCTTCCGCGGCAGCAATGGGAGACAGGAGGCCGAATGTCAGCCATAATAACCGGTTTAGGGATTACCCACGCGTACCCACTGTTTGCCTGTACTCTCGGTGACCGTAATGGCGTAAACGTTTTAACATTCTGTTCTCACTTACTTGTGGTATTTGTCGACAACTTGGACCCAGAAAAGCCCAAACTATATTACCTAATAACATCCTTAGTGCAACGACTGCCACAGAGCCAGAGTCCTAAACAAAAACTTTGCAAAACCGTAGTAAGCTAGATACTAGTCTCTCCCGGGCATGCCTAAACTCTGCCGTTTCGGGTCTACCAAACCTTGAAACCTTGGCCCAAACCAAGGACTTTCAGTCGGTTGGTCCTGCCAGCTCAGACCACAAGTGGCCTCTTTCAGTAGAATGGTTTGCCGCCGCTTGGCCGGTAGCTGCTTCAGAACGTCCTCCTGGCTAATGTTGAACCCAACAACCTACGCACATGTGTGAGCTAGGATAAACAGCCTTGTGTGGTCGTAAGGGACCCGTCAGGTGCGCATAAGCGTTTGGAGTTCAGGCGCTTGGAACTATTTGCAAAATTTGGGTATATTCAGATTCCAGTACCTGTGTATGCCGAAGGAACAATGACAAATGATAATATGGGTTGTCGTTTTGGGGCCCTGAAAAGTATTTATGAATAGGTACCTCTATACGATGCATAAGGGAAATGCTAAAGTTTCCCAAACTGTCACCTAGTGATTTGTTATTATTTCAAACTGAAACATGAAGCCTTCAACCCTGCACGGTGCATGAAACGTCTTGCGGCCACGAGCCCTATGCAGAAGTGTTGCCAATCCGACATGTAGTCAAAGTCTAGCTGCGGTTCAGCAAAAACGGCTTGTAAACTTGCAACTATCAGGAGGTGCATGAAGGGTCTCACAAACTACATTCCACGACCCCTCAAAAAACCTATGAACCCACATCTAGCCTTCGGGGCCGAGAATAAAGGGATATGATCGTAAAACCGTTGGGTTTCTATGCAACGAAACAATATCTTGTACGGGGATGTCTAACCATAGAGTCTAAACCCAAAACCACAGTTTCGTGGTCCTTGCACAACTTTGATTACCCAACACATGCACATGGCAGACTTGTGATTTGATTGTCTCGCCCAGTACAGTATGTCGCCTTGTCCAGTATGTCGTCCCAGTATTGGAAATCATGCCTCCTATAAGCCGTAACGCTACACCGTGACTCTAAACCCCCTAAACCCTAGTTAAACTCCGAAACCTTGAATCCTAAACGTTGAAAACCATGCATATAATCATCTTGGACTCCTGCAGCCCCTGAGCCCTGAAGCCTTGTAAGCTTTCTGAAGAAAGCAACAATTTTCTGTCTTCGCACCCCCAAACCCAACTGAACTTTAAGCAAACAAACATACGGAAGATGTTCGTATATTGAATATGGGGTTCAGGATTTAGGGATGTGACGGCTTAGGGATTGCAAGCTGAGGTTTAGAGTGCGGAGTTCAGCGCCGCAGGGATAAGTTTGGCATATATGTATTTGTGAATATGTGTGTATGTATGTTGGTTTGTTTGTTTGTGTTGTTGGTTAATTGGCTGTGTCGTTGCTTAGTTGTTTGGTTGCATGTGTGTGTGTGTGTGTGGGTGTGTGTGTGTGTGGTGGGTGTGTGTGTGTGTGGTGTGTGTGTGTGTTGCGTGTCTGTTGTTGTTTTCTTTTGCGTGCTGTTTCGTTTCTTTGTTTGTCTGGTTGTTTGTTGTGCTGTTGCCTACTGGCTTGCTTGCTTGCTTGTTTGTTTGTTGTTTGTTTGCTTGTTTGGTTGGTTGGCTGGCTGGCTGGCTGGTTCGTTGTTTGGTTCGTTCGTTGGTTGATTGGTTGGCTGGTTGGTCGGTGGGTGGGTGGGTTGGTTGGTTGGTTGGTTGGTTGCTTGTTTGCTTGTTTGCTTGCCTGCTTGCTTGCTTGCTTGGTTGCTTGCTGGCCTGCGTGCTTGCTTGCTTGCCTGCCTGCCTGCCTGCCTGGTTGGGTAGTTGGTTGGTTGGTTGGTTTGGTTTGGCTTGGTTTGGTTTGGTTGATTTGGTTGGTTTGGTGGGTTTGGTTGGTTGGTTGGTTGGTTGTTTTAGGGGTTTGTTTGGGGGTTGGTTTAGGGGTTGTTTAGGGGTTGGTTTAAGGGTTGGTTGAGGGGTTGGTTGAAGGGTTGGTTGAAGGGTTGGCTGAGGGGTTGGTTGAGGGGTTGTTCGAGGGGTTGGTCGAGGGGTTGGTTGGTTGGTTGGTCGGTTGGCTGGTTGGTTGGTTTAGGGGTTTAGGGATGGTCTAAGGTTTCGGAGTTTAAGGTGAGCTAAGTTCCGCACCAAGAAGAACCGAGCATATGTCTTTATCAGACAATGCGAGCCTAAGGACCTGTAGACTCTAGACTACAGCTGCAGAGGCATCTATCCGCTGAAGAGAAGCATCTGGTATTAGCTTATTCCGAGCCTTCTTGCGCCGGATAAACGGTTTTTCCGAGCCTTCTTGCGCCGGATGCCGATCTTGTGGAAGAGATAAGTGTGCAGCTCTAGCTCTCGTTGAGGTCCCGCCCAATTGCTCTTTCCGAAAGCGTTGTTCTTGGACCTGCAATCTCTAAGGGCCCACGTGCTCCAACAGTATGTGAGGAGGGGTTTAATCAGGGTTTTGGTGGGTGTATATGACGGTTGCCCGGAGGGTCAGAGTCTCCATACTTTGGCATCCTCGTAACCTACATAGTAGCTGAGCGGGCTATGGGTGCGGTGCACAAGGCTTCACCAAAGACTTTAGGAACGAAAGGATATTGCATGTCCTACCAGCATCTATGGAACCTATGGGGCCCAAGCCGCAACATGCAATCTGAGCTCCTGACTTTAGGCAAACATTGGTTTGGGTTTAGGCGCCATACTGTTTAGAACATTTTTGGATTCAGGGCTTAGGGTTGCCCCACATCCTGAATCGGCCTAGACTGGGCCCACTGTCTCAGGCAAGCCTTTGTCAGCCCACTACAACTCTGAAACTCTCCGAACACAGAGAAAACTATGGGCTAACATACAAACCTAGGACTCTAAATAGCCCAAACAAGTACCGTTTATAGACTCTAGACCCCAAAGTAGGTGCCAGCCGTATACTTGGAGTTTTACGGACATGCACCTGAAGTATCGATGCCCAAATGTGCTTTCGTCCGGCAGACGGCTATCCAGCAGGCGTAGAAGAGGGAACCTGAGCGTCTTTGAGGGGAATGGTTTAAGGTTTAAAGTTTATATAGGGTTTAGGGTTTCGGGTGTGGTAACGTCATGGGTGCTCGCTGGTGCGTGCACACCCAGGTTGTTCGCGCCTGTGCTTGCGGACCTTAAGGCGTAAGTAGATACTATGGCATTGCTACGAACCCCAAGGGTTTAGGGTTTAGGGCTCATTTTTCAATCTTAAACAGATATCCGAAGCCCGGATGAAGCAGTTCGTTCAAAAGCTTGCAGCGCATCAGCCTACATGCAACTCAAGGTGGCAGTTGCCGTAGCTCCTGTAAAACGTTGTCTCGAAAATTTGGCTTTTGAAGTGCGGGTTTGCGGCCACCCAACATAAGTCGATGCCATTTAAAGATCGCAATTGTCTCTTCTGGCATGCAAAATGTTTGTGCCAGATAGAAGAGCGTTGGGGAAAGGTCGGAGCCAAGAAAGGACATGACAGGAGCGATGCGAATCCTCCTGAGGGCCCTTCTCCCTTCGCCCGAAATTAAACTTAGATCGCTGACCCCCAAGCCCTGAACCCTCGAGTTCTGAAACCTTGACGTCTGAGTCTCAAGTCCTATATAAACAACAAAAATCTCGGAACCCTGATCTCTAACTCCGCAAGCAGTGGACCTGGATTCCGTAAACCTCAATCTCCGAGTATTTGGGGGTCCTTGTACCTCGTGTGTCTCCACTTCTATGGAAGCATGAACAAATTTCTGATGGTGTGCCTTAAGTCTCTCAGTATTTGTGTGCAATAATTTGCCCCAACCAAAACCCCACCCAAATTCAGACCCTTTATGTTCTCCTGGCGATGCACAGCCCGACGGAGATCTGCCATTTGGAATGGCCACGTGTTTAAAGATTCGAGTCGGTTTGGGGCTTTAGGGCTTTGGGGTTTTAGGTCGGGTTTGGGGTTTAAAGATTAGAGTCTCGGGTTTAGGGGTGTTGAGTGGGTTAGGGTTTAAGGGCTCAGACTTCAGTGGCTGAGTAGTAGCATCTGCTGATGTGTGGGACAGAACCCTAAACCCTAAACCCTAAAAGCCAGAACCCCTCACATCAGACGAAGTTCTGACTCAGCCCTAGGCTTCATTGGAAGAGCACACAAGCCCCAAACTCAAAAGAAACAAGCAGCGTGTGACCGAAAAGCCAAAACCACTGTGACTGCGGATGTGTGCATGTTTACCCCGCATCATAACTACTAGCATGTGCGAAACACAAAGCAAGTTTATCAAGAGAGCAACACACGAAACGAACAAAATGATTACCCATAGGTAAAAGCAGTACGGTAGAAGTATGGTGTGCAGGTGTGCACAAGTATGCATGCGTGTATGTCTGCGCACACATGCATATGTCTATGTGTGTGTGTACATAAGTACGCATGTATGTACGGCATACGTATGTATGCATGCATGTAAGTTTCATACATCGGCGTGTGACACCCGTCCCAAGCTTCGCAAAACCTGCTTGAAGCCTTCATACAAGCCCCTCCAGTAGGGTTGGGGTTTACGGTTTAGGGTTCACACCCCAAGACTACCCTGAGTTCACGCAATTATGGTTTGGTTCTCAAGTCAGTCATCCGAGCGAGGGCTCTGGCATCGCCGGCGATGCTCGTTATCTTCAACGAGACCCAGGCAGGGCCGAAATGGGATCATGAATGATAGCCTGCTAGTGAAGAACATGCCAAGCGCGGCCGATGTGGCTAGGGAAACGAAAGGGAATGTTTGCGGCGGGCGGTGGATAGAATCGAACGAACCCAACGAGAAGGTATGCCCCACGCCCCAAGCAGAGACAAGCAGCAGTGTGTTTGCTTCTGTGACTTTATTTCTCGCGAGTACCGGAAAAAGGCCGTCCACTTTCTGTGAGGCTGTGCTGGCGGCGGTTGTCAATAACAGACACAAGTATAAAGTTCAGTCCATGTGGGTTTTCTGTCCGGCTGTCCTGGCGGGGGGCCGCAACCCTTGTCAAGAGGGCAGTCTGCTTCAACTCGTGAAGGGTTCGGGGTTACAACCCTTGTCGAGTGGAAGTGCCAGCATATCTTCGGGTTTAGGGCTTGGGCCGCTTCGGGCCTTCGGTGGCGGTTGTCGAGCCCTCAGCGACAACTTTAGGGTTTAGGTTTTAGGGCTTGGTTTGGTAACCCTTTAAACCCTTACTGGACCCCACCTAAACCCTAAACCCTACACTGACACCCTAAACCCTGAACCCAAAAACCCTAAGCCGTAAAGCCTAAACGCTAAAGTTTAAGCTTGGCAGCAAGTTAGGCTTTGCGAGTTCAGGCTTGGGGGTTTGTTAGGCTCTGGGGAGGCTGGCGTTTCGAATTTAAGGTTTAGGCTGTAGGCTTTAGGGTTTGGGCTGTAGGGTTCTTAATTAGGGCTCTTGTTTGCGAAGGGAAATAAAACCCCCGAAGCCCTAAACCCCTAAACCCTAGTTAAAACCCTACTTTGACTAAACCCTGATCAAACCCTAATTAAACCCTAGTTAAACTCTCGTCAAACCTACTTAACCCCTAAACGCACGCCTGCAACCTCTAAGAGCCCGATGAATCTCAAAAGATGTTCAGCACGGTCTCGTGAAATCCTAAGTTTAAGAAAGCCCAAACCCCTACCCAGACGAGGGTTCCTTTAAAGGATTTAGGGTTTGAGGTTTATGGTTTAAGGGTTTAGGGTTTAGAGTTTATGGTGTATGATTTCCTTTAGTGGTATTAGGGTCCCGATAACGGGATCTACTTCTTTCATCCTCCCGGGGAGTGTCAATGCATGGTTTCCGAATATCACCACCAATTAAACACATAAGGGCGCCGAGATGAAAGACAATGTGCCCGACCCACAGGGGTCACTCCGCGATCCCACATCATATGTATTGCATGGCCGGTTGTGGGCTCATGAGTGTGGGCTCCGAGGGGCAAGCGTGGTTGAGGTTCGGTTCAGGGCTTGGGGCCAGGGGCCCTTAAACCCTAAACGAGGTTTGTTAAACGAAGTTAGGGTTAAGGTGTTCAGCTTTGGGTTTGGGTGTTTTCGCTTCGGGGTTTTATTGGGGCCCTTAGGCTCCATATATACGAGGCGCCTGAGATTTTCAGTTGTGGAGGTATCCCATTTGCGGCTTAATAACACACCTCCCATAAGCCAATACTTAACCTAAACCCTGAACCCTAAACTGCCAGGGCCTAGTATTCTCTCAACCCTAAATATCAACCTCTAACCCAGGCCTCCGAAAGAAAAAGGATCTAAACACTAGATGCCCTAATGCTAATTCGAAACCCTGAACCCTAAAGGCTAAACCCTAAACCCTATACTACTAAGAAGTACTTTGAAGGAACCCCCTTAGAGGATCTACTACTTTCTGCATCTTCCTTGGGCTCTGGGAAGCTCCTGTAATGTATGCTCCTGTCATCATGTGATCCAACTCTGCGCGCGCTTGAAAAGTCAACAAGGAAAAACGACCAGATGGAAAATGAGAAGACGAAGGCTTTAGTTTTTTGTTTAGTATTACGGTTTAAGATTTGGGGTTCAGGATCTACTTTAATCCATGTGAAGGATGGAAACGAAGGAGCCCTGCACAGGCAGGTACCTCATCTGTTTGAGTGGGGGGGGGGACAGCAGGGTCTGGGGTCTGTTCTTGACTTCCACATTCAGGAGATGCAGCCAAGGTACTTCGCACTTTACGTACTAAGGTATATATATATATACTCATATTTATATAGAGGGGCATTTGTAGTTAGAAACGGGTTAGCTGAATCCTGAACCCGAAACACCACTACCTAAACCGAACACCCTCGACCTGGTAATACCTAAACCCGACTACCAAAGCCCTGCAGATAAACCTCAAACATTGGCGCCGAAACTTTAGGACCTAAACTGGACCTAACCCTCAACCGGCCAGCCGCAGCTACGTAACAGCTCCATCGCAGAATTCAGCACGGGCGTGCCACTTATGAGGATGAGGAACTTCGCTTCCTTGCAGGTTCAAGGGTCGGGGGTTTAGGGTTTAAAGGTTCGCCGAGTCCCCACCCCCGAATTAGATCATTACTCAGAATCCTTGTAGTGTAACTTACAACTCATGTTGCTAATTGTGTTTTACACATAGTCGTACAAAAACAATTAACAACATGCTTGTTCACACGTACGTGAAAACATTTAACAACATGCTCTGTGATCGTTATGGGTAGCTGGCAAGCTGACTTTCACATGTTGTCTGAAACGCCAGATTGATGACCCCAGCAGTTTGTTCATCAGTCCGCAGCATGATGTGTTATCCAGTGAAAAGGCGCTAAACCAAGCGAGGCTACGTCCAGGTGTGGTGAGTACCTGGGTCAGTGGAAAATCTCAGTGGAAATATTCCCTGCCTTTGATCCGCACGCTATTCTCAGCTTTTCCAAAACAAGCTTACTTTGCTGAGCGCGGGCCCCATGATCCCATATTGCTTCCTCCTAAACCCTAAACCCCTGAAGCCCTGAAACCCTAAACCCTAAGCTGTCTCCCGCACAACCAATCTACTTTACTTCGACCTCCCCACACCTGAAGCGGACAAAAACCCTGCACCCCACAGACCCGAAGGCCTGAAGATGGGTTTCAGGGTTCGGGTTTGGCTTAGGCTTTCGCGTTTCGGGTTTCGGGGTTATAGGGTTTAGGGGTTATAGGGTTTAATAGGGTTTAGGATATACGGTCTGGAGTCTTGAGAGTCGAAGGGGTGTAAACTCCCTGAGGAAGAAGCACCAATCACCAGAAGCCACGAGACACAACTCGACAGGACCTCAGGTTGCTGAATGCTGCATTCAAATCGTAAAATTAACCTCCTGAGTTCCTAAATCCGAAACCTTTTTGAACGTTCGGTCTTCGGCCATGCCATGTTCTGTGCCACGCGGTTTAAAATGATCCGACTTACCGATACCGAACACTTACCCCCAGGGAGGTAGGGTTTAGGTTTAGGGGTTTGGGCGCAACGCCTTGCTTTCGAGTGGACCATATGCCCGGAATCCATCAAGCTAAGACCCTGAGGACTTAAGCCTTTTTTGTGAGCTGCCGTAAACCCTCCAACTATCCCTGAACACTAACCCACAAACCTGAAGCCCAGACCCGAAACCTCATCCTCCAACCCTAAATCCCTAAACCTTTACCGCAAGACTCTTAACCTGAAGCCCTCGTCCCGCAAGCGTAAACCTAGAAGCACAAAATTCAAATCCAGGAGTGCCTCTGCCACTGCGTACACTGCACGCGAACGCTTGGCTTCCGGGTTCTTGACGTAATGGCACCTTTTCGAAGTTGAAACTTACGATTGCGGGCACTGCAGAAGTTCCCAGAGAGCCCAATACCCCTTAATTAAGGAATATACCTTAAATCATAATATTAAGGCCCCTATAATTTAAGGTATATTTCCTTGATTAGGGGGTATTGGGCTCTCTGGGTTTAGGAGGTCTAGGAAGTTGGGATTCAAGGTGAGAAGCGGCAGTCGTTGTGTGTTGTCAACATTTATGGTTTGGGGTTTAGGGTTTAAGGTGTAGGGTTTTGTGTTTCGGGTTTAGGGGTTTAGGGGGTAGTCGTGTCGTCGTGGAGGTCCTCGTTGTCCCCGTCATAACACAAGCAGTGATTATCGTCGTAGTTTCAGTCGCAGTCGTTGTCGTAGCAGGAGCAGCACGTCGCAGAGGTAGCAGGAGGAGCAGCAGCGGGAGCAGTACGTAGTAAAAGTATTAGTAGTGGTAGTAGCAGCGGCAGGAGTAACAGTAGCAGTAGTAGTAATAGTAGTGGTAGTCGTCGTGCTTCTGCATCAAGCCGCCTGCTGCTGCATCTGTGGCCATCGTTTACATCAAGACAAGGAGTTTGGGGGTGCGGGTTTCGGATTTAGGATTTACAGCCTTCATTTCTGGTCTCCCCATTAAGATAGCCAGCCTTCATACGCCAAGAATCGGATCCTTATCTTCATACGACACTCCAGGGCCTTAAGATCCTATACCTTGAGCATCCTTTCCGGAACCCTAAACCATTTGAACCCCCTGAACCCTAAACCCTAAACCCCTAAACCCTAAACCATTTGAGCCCTAAACTCCCTAAACCCCTCCAGTCCTAATTTCTTCTCAGGGCGCTCGTCACAGACCACGAATCGGTAGGGCCGACCGCGGGCATCTCGCAAAAGATGCTTTTGCCTGCTTTTGTTAAGGCTGGGGGTCTGGCTGGTTGAGGGCTTTATTGGGTCTTCTTGAGGATTGCTACGATTTCTTTATTAGGGCTTTCCGTGTTCTGTAGAGCTTTGCAATGGCTTTTTGGGGGTGCAGGATCGGTTTTGAGAGCTGCGAGGCTTTAGGCGTTTAAGGGTGCAGCAAGACTGTGGGTTCAGTATGCAGCCAGGTTCTGGGATTGAGGGTTTGGGCGGTGTACAAGGGTTTAGGGTTTAGGTTTAGGGGTTTAGGGTTTAGGGTTTAGGGCTTAGGGAGGAAATTCTCATGATATACACCCTAAACCCTACCCCCGAAGCCAGAAATCCCCCGTAACTTTCCGGCAACTCATGCTCAAAGACCCGACAAGACTCGAAACCCTAAAACCCCCCAAACAGTCCAACATCCCTTAGTTAGTTTAAGGAAGAAACCTGACCTTATGCATGATAGTAGGGTCCCTAATAGTCTGATCTAAAGTGGGTTTTCGGTAGGATCTGGGCCTTCTACGCCTGTCTCAAGCTTCTGTGCCCGGGTTTAGCAGCCCTAAACCCTAAACCCTAAGCTCTAAACCCTAGGGATGCCGCGCCAGCTCGGAAGGCCATAAAACCCCGTAGGAACCCAACCACACCGCATGAGGAGAACGCTGCTTGGACTACTAGGGCAGAAAGGTTGGACAAAAAAACCTAAACCCCTAGCTGGCCCCAAAGAACCTACCCTTTTTAAGGACCTATGAAATCAGAATAAGGAACCCTAGAGAGGGAGGTTCTTAAGGGTCCAGGTAAACCCTAAACCCCAACTGAAGAGTTTGGTGGCACACCGAACCAAAAGCAGCAGCTGACTACTACTACAACGACTACTACTACTACTACTACTACTACTACTAGTACTACTAGTACTACTAGTACTAATACTAATACTAATTACAACTACTACAGCTTTAGTTTCGGTGGTTCGTGCTTTGACACCGAGGGGTTCACTGGTAGTCTCGATTGTCGTTCCTTTCGTGGGTTACCTGAAGAAGGATCCTCCATATAATATTGGGTTCAGGGTTGAGGTTTAGACCATACCCTAGGGGTCCTGTTCCCAAATAGTGAATACGCTTTGGCCTTATTTGGTAGGTTTAACAGGGCTTCATATGGGTAGTTCTCTACATTAGGGTCCCTTTTTAGGTCCCAAATATAATACGGCACCCTTATAAAATGGACCCTAAAAGGGGCTCTAGTTTCGAGAACTCCCCATATGGTGTGAAAGGACTTTGCGGAGGGCTTCAGGGTGGGGCTACGTTGCAAAGAACGACAAAGCTGCTTTGGGTTGCCGGCTGCGAGCTTCGTCGAGGGTTAGAGGTTTACTTAGCCTAACCAAGGTACCCAAAAAAAGCTGAATCCACAAGTTCTTCAGGGTCATATTCAACTAAAGGAACATTGGTTACTCTAGGTAGGGTTTTCTTGCCCACTGCAATGGCCAAATGGCTTCCGAGCCCGCCTGACCAGCAACGCGTACGACACGATGACCCAGGATGCATCCGGGTCAAGAGGCGTACTGCCGGCGTAGATGACCTGCACCTGCTTCAGGGACAGGTTCAGTAGTTACAAGTTGTAAGTTGCGACTAAAGGTTTTGGGTGTTTAGAGCGACTAAAGGTTTTCGGGTTTAGATAGGTTTAGGGTTAGGTTCAGGGTTTCGGTTCTCGGGGGCATCGCAACTAGCAGCATCACCGGACTCTATCTCTAACCTACTAAAGCCAAAGAAACCCTAACGTTCTGGATGGTCATGTAGACCAATGAGAGCCTCGATCTTACGATCCCTCTTACGATTTCCGATGCCATTCAGTCGGGCCCCTGTCGAGGGAAAAAAAGCTTTAGGTTTTTCGGGTTTGAGGGCTCAGGGCGTTTTGGGGTTTAGGGTTTCAGGGGGTAGGGGTAGGGTATAATAGTATAGGGCTTTAGGGTTTAGGGCTTAGGGTTGGGAACATAGCTTTGCGACAAAGGAACTTTTTCAGTCCCAATACCAGATATATGGCAAAATTGCACTTACAGGGCGCAAGTACATATGTTGGCATCTCTATACATTACATTACATTACATTACATTACATTACGTTCCATTACATTCCATTGCATTCCATTGCATTCCATTACTTTCCATTACATTCCATTACGTTCCATCACATTGCATTGCATTGCATTGCATTGCATTACATTACACTACATTACATTACATTACATTACATTACATTACACTACAATACACTACACTACACTACACTACATACATTAGTTAATTACATACCTACATACATACATACATACATACATACATGCATGCACGGATGCATGCATACATGCATTATCTTAAGTGTTGCCGTAAGTTGGATGAAATTCCTGAGGAAGGACACAGTCCTAGGCTGGGCCATTTCGTCCGTAGAGTCGACAACACGCGGGACTTCGGAACCACGCCAGGGTCGGCCGAGCAAATAGCCAAAGCATTCCCCGATAGTTCCTGTACCTATGCTGGCACCTTACAGCCTCTGAAATGTAAATAAGATCCTCTTCAGCCCAATGGTATAAATATAACATCTCCCATATAGAAATACGCAGCAGCAACCTGCCCCGAAAGCCTCTTCTAAGCATTGCCATCAAAGGCCCCCTGCTTGAGGGTCGGCTTGCTGGTCCCGGGGTTGCAGGTTTAGGGTTGAGGGTTTA